AAAAAAACAGAATACATTATTAAGTAAAAACTAAAAAATAGACATGTAAACCATCAGAGCTAGAAGATAAAGCAACCCCCACTTCTACTCTTACTAATACTACAACACCAAGAATATACATCATTAACATTCATCGGAAAGAGTAGCGAAATGATACACACAAAGATATCACACGCAAAAAAGAAGAAGAGACACAAACTTAGACAGTAACAAAAACATAATGAATGCAAATCGAAAAGGATAAAAGCCAAGAAAGAAAACAAGATAAGAAAAAGTTTTTTAGAATAGGAATAACCGAAACAAAATTATGACCCCGTAAAACAGTAAAATCACACCCTCCCAAAAAACAAACAAACAAAAACATTCAAACACAAAGGGTAAAAACAAATCAATTAAAGGAAGGAGCATGAAAAACTAACAGTCTAAAACCACACACTCGCTTCAACAAATTTAAAGAAAAAACAAAAAAGAAATGAACAAAAGAATAATTTATCCTAACAGAATAAAGCACAAACCAAACAAATTGCCAACCCTCTGAATATAAAATGGAAATAGACAAATACTGGGAGAAATTCTCCTCCTCAAAAAACATCACACAGACCTAGAAAAGAAGGAACGGACTAGGAACACGATAGAAAGTAAAAACTGAGAAGCCATAAAAACGAGGAGGATTAAAACTCGTAAAAAGAAGAGAAGGGAAAATTACACAGCTGCAAAAGACAGACACGAAAACACGAGAGAGATCCGGCTAAAACATTGGCGTAACCATCACCCCTAGGTAATAGAATGAACAAAATTTTCAAAAACCATGAACACTGTCCATCACGGACCAACGTTATAAACTTACTCCAGGAAACGGAACAGCGAAATAGAACAGAGGAAGACTCTCAAAAAACAAACAGAAAAGATAAGGAAGCGAGGGAATAAAACAATGAAAAATAACAAAAGCTGACCCCCGTTGATGTAACAAACTGTAGAAATCAAAAGCCATACAAAGAAACAAAACGGATAAATAAAACAAGGAAAAGAGAGGTAAACAAAAACAAGAATATGAAAATGAACTAAAACTGGATACACGAAAAGAATAAATTACAGAATCCTTCAAATAAACCACAGACGCAAGGGAGTACAGAAAATCGCACAAAAAGAACATGCAAATGACCGGCACGAAAACCCAAGGATGACACGATCAAAGCATTAGCATAACCACCACCCCAAGGCAATAAAAACGAACAAACACCGAAAAGATTCTTTGTCACTCTAATAAATGACACACAACCCTAACAAATTGGTAAAGAAAGGTCACCAAATACAATAATAAAGAAAAATAATAAAAGCTAACAAAAACCACCAAAAAGATGAATACAACTAACGACAAAAGGATACGCCATAGAAACAATTAAACCGAACTATATAAATATAAAAACAATCTAACTAACCAAAATATATAAAAACATAACGGACTAACGAAAACAAGGAAAAGAGAGGTAAGTAAGAAAACGAAATATAAAAAATATAAGGAAAACACTCGAGATCGAGTACAGGAGAGTAATAAATCTACGAAACATTCCAGAGACACCATAAAGACAATGGGGATTGAAACACACAAAAAGGAGAAAGGAATCGTGCACAGCTGCAAGACAGACAAGAAAACATGAGAGAGACACTGACAGAGCATTGGCGCGGCCACTATCCCCAGGTAATAGAACGAATAAATACTGAAAACACTAACGCACGATCAACCACTGACTAATACCACAATCCCACTCTAGGAAATAACACAATAAAACAGAACAGGGCAAACTCGTAAAAAACAAATGAAGGAGAGAAACTAACGGAAGAACAAGATAAGGAAAAATAATAGAAATCGACCCCGTCGATGTAAAAAATAGGACATACTATGGAACCAACCGAACTGATTTCCAACAACCTATGAACAATTTAACTAGCCAAAAACATATAGGCAAACATAACGAATTAACAGAACAAGGAAAAGAGAGGTAAGTAAGAAAACGAAATATAGAAAATATAAAAAACACTCGAGGCTGAGTACAGAAAATAATAAATCTATAAAACCGTCCAGAAAAACCGTAAAAACGATAAGGGTTAAAACACATAAAAAAGGGAAAAGGAACTGTACACAGCTGAAAAACGGACACGAAAATATGAAAACGACCTGGCCAAGCATTGGCGCAGCCACCACCCCCAGGCAATAGAACAAATAAATGCTGAAAACATTAACGAACGATCAATCACTGACTAATACCACAATTCCACTCTAGGAAATAACATAATAAAACAGAACAAGGCAAACTCGTAATAACAAATAAAGGAAAGTAAATAACGAAGGAACAAGATAAGAAAATAACAGAAATCGACCCCGTCGATGTAAAAATTAGGACATGCTACGGTACCAATCAAACTGTATTCCAACAACCTATGAATAATCTAATTAGCTGAAAAACATTTGGGCAAACATAACGAATTAACAGAACAAGGAAAAAGAGGTAAGTAAGAAAATGAAATATAGAAAATACAAGAAAACACTCGAGGCCGAATACAGGAAAAATGATAAATCTATAAAACCGTCCAGAGAAACCGTAAAAAAGATGAGGGCTAAAACACATAAAAAAGGGAAAAGAAACTGTACACAGCTGCAAAGCAGACATGAAAATATGAAAATGACCTGGTCAAGCATTGGCGCAGCCATCACCTCCAGGTAATAGAACGAATAAATACTGAAAACATTAACAAACGATCAATCACTGATTAATACCACAATCCCACTCTAGGAAATAACATAACAAAATAGAACAGGGTAAACTCGTAAAAAACAAATAAAGGAGAGAAAGTAACGGGGGAACAAGATAAGGAAAAATAACAGAAATCGACCCCGTCGATGCAAAAAATAGGACAGGCTACGGAACCAATCAAACTGAATTCCAACAACCTATGAATAATCTAATTAGCTGAAAAACATTTAGGCAAACATAACGAATTAACAGAACAAGGAAAAAGAGGTAAGTAAGAAAACGAAATATAGAAAAATAAGAAAACACTCGAGGCCGAGTACAGGAAAAATAACAAATCTACATAAAACTGTCCAGGGAAACCGTAAAAACGATGAGGGTTAAAACGCATAAAAAAGGGAAAAAGGAACTATACACAGCCGCAAAGCAGACACGAAAATATGAAAGGGGCCTGGTCAAGCATTGGCGCAGCCACCACACCCAGGTAATAGAATGAATAAATGCTGAAAACATTAACGAACGATCAATCACTGACTAATACCACAATCCTACTCTAGGAAACAACAAAATAAAACAGAACAGGGTAAACCCGTAATAACAAATAAAGGAAAGTAAATAACAAAGGAACAGGATAAGGAAAATAACAGAAACCGATCCCATCAATGTAAAAATAGGACATGATATAGAACCAATCGAACTGAATTCCAACAACCTATGAATAATCTAATTAACTGGAAAACATTTAGGCGAACATAAAGATTTAACAGAACAAAGAAAAAGAGGTAAGTAAGAAAACGAAATATAGAAAATATAAGAAAACACTCGAGACCGAATACAGGAAAAAATAATAAATCTATAAAACCGTCCAGAGAAACCGTAAAAAAGATGAGGGCTAAAACACATAAAAAGGTAAAAGAAACTGTACACAGCTGCAAAACAGACACGAAAATACGAAAATGACCTGGTCAAGCACTGGCGCAGCCATCACCTCCAGGTAATAGAACGAATAAATACTGAAAACATTAACGAACGATCAATCACTGACTAATACCACAATCCCAATTTAGGAAATAACATAATAAAACAGAACAAGATAAACTCGTAAAAAAAAAAACAAATAAAGGAGAGAAAGTAACGGGGGAACAAGATAAGGAAAAATAACAGAAATCGACCCCGTCGATGTAAAAATAGGACATGCTATGGAATCAATCGAACTGAATCCCAACAACCTATGAGTAATCTAACTAACCGAAAAATATATAGACAAACATAACGGATTAATAGAGCGAGGAAAAGAGAGGTAAGTAAGAAAACGAGATACAGAAAATATAAGAAAACACTCGAAGCCGAGTACAGGAAAATAATAAATCTATAAAACCGTACAGAGAAACCGTAAAAACGATGAGGGTTAAAACACATGAAAAAGGGAAAAGGAACTGTACACAGCTGCAAAACAGACACGAAAATATGAAAACGACCTGGTCAAGCATAGGCGCAACCACCACTCCCAGGTAATAGAATGAATAAATGCTGAAAAACTCTACTGTTAATCTATTATTTAATTAAAATCACGATCTCACTTCAGGAAATAACACAATAAAACTCAACAGAACAAAACTCTTAAAAAACAAGCAAAAAGAAATAAGGGAATGAAAGAAGAAAATAATGAAGATAACAAAAACCGACCTCGCCAAGGTAAAAAAAATATTAGGACACGATGTGGAAACAATTAAGCAGAATCCCAACAATCCAAGAACGATCTGAAATAACAGGAAAACACAGGAAAACACAACGGATTAACAAAGCGAGAAAAAGAGAGGTGAGCAAGAAAACAAAATATAGACAATATAAGAAAACACTCGAGGCCGAGCACAGGAAAATAATAAATCCTCGGAATCCCCCAGAAAAACCATAAAAAGCCAGGGGCTGAAACACACAGAAAAGGGGAAAGAAATCGTACACAGCTGCGAAACAAACACGAAAACAAAAGAATGACCCGACCAAAGCAATGGCGCAGCCACCACCCCCCAGGTAACAGTACGAATTAACACTGAAAATATTATCATTAATTCATTATCGACTAAATATCATGATCTTACTCTAGGAGACAATACAACAATATAGAACGGAAAAGGACTCCTAAAAAACAAACAGAGGAAAACAAAAACGAAGGAACAAAAATAATATAAAAATAACGGAAACTAACACTGTCAACATAACAAAAATCCAAAAACCGAAAAATGCAAAGGAACAAAAAGAAAAAGAACAAATAAAAAGACGAGAGGTGAGTGGGAATAAGATATGAAAAATTCAAAAACAAATACACGAGAGACATAAAAATCACAAAAATTTTCCAGAGGAAACCGTAGAAACAATGCAGAATGGAAACCCAGACAAAGGGGGGAAGAAAACATACACAAGCACAAAACGGACACAAAAATACAAGGACTATCTGACCAGAGCAATGGCGTAAGCACTGCCCCCAAGAAACGTAGAATAAAAACAAGAACAATCGCTGTTATTGTCAAATCAACGAACGACAACAGAATCTCGTCACACGCAAAGAAAATCCTGAAACAAAAATTTATAAACAAACCGAAAGAACACAAAAGGAAACAGAACGGCCAAAAACAGACTGGAAAAAGTGAGGTAGGCAAAAATACATAAATAATAGGAAATCTCGCTGGAAACTAAACACACACACTTAATACAAAATGAAACCTTTAACGTAAGCGGATAAAATAAAAGAAACAAAACACAGGAAAATAATAAAGACAAGACTACAACATAACAAATACAAATATGCGTATAATTTTACAGAAACGGAAAAACAAAAAGTTTCCCCACCCTACAACACCGAAAGTAGGAAAGGAAAACGAGGAAGGGGTAGGAAAACGTGCAAACAGAAAGAGACAAAGCAAGAAAGACAGAGGGGAAAAATCCAGGGAACCAATGACGAAAGAACCCCGCACCCCAAACCGAGTATGCATGGAAAAAGTGGGAAAAAAGGAGGAGGCCGAGGCCAGCGAGAGACTATAAAAAGAACGGTACGGGAAGACAAAATAACAGTCGTGAGCGACCAAACCCAAACTCTAGTACATAGTATAGAAACCGTCTCTGAAATTGTGATCTTCAACTAGATACAAGATGAACCGAACAAACACAAGAGGAACATTCACGTCCACCCACCAAGTGGCAGTGGTACCAAAGGGATTCCCGAACAGGATACTAACATTCACAGAGGCAGAAGAATTTGGAGACGCGCTGAATCTATGCGTAATGGAATACATAGAAGCTAGAAAAAGGAAATCGTTGGAATTTGTGCGACCAGAGTTTCCGACATTTTTCCGCAAAAACGGCGGAATACTACTAACTTGCAACACAGAAGTGACCGTTAAGTGGATCAAAGTAGCTATCAAGTTCATAAAACTAAAAAGTGGCTGCGAACTAACGATCGAAGACAAGACAGCACTGGACAACAGATTTTCGGTAGAGGGGAGGGGCACGCACTCCCGATTTACGGGAGCAAACATAC